CCCCTCCCACCCCTGGTAACCAACAAAGAAAATTTCCTTCTATAGATAAACCTTTCCTTAACTTTTACAATAACAGACTAATACAGTATTTGTCCTTTTGTGATTGACTTATTTCACTCAGCAAGTCCTCCAAATTCATCCACGTTATGCAGTGTTTTGCAGATTCTACATTACTCTTTAGCATTGCATAGTATTCCATTGTGTGTATGTACCATAGTTCATATGTACCATTCCTCACTTGATGGACACCTAGGTTTAAGTCTGGGCTTTTAAAAAAAAAAAAAAATAGGAGTGTCTGGAAGGGTATCTTGGTGGGATTATGGGGGCTTTTTGTTTGTTTTTACAAAATAAGTAAGTTTTTGCTTACCTATATATTTTCTGCTCTGGTAGTGTAGTACCTAAGGCATTTGCCTGCTAACCAGAAGGCTGGCGGTTCAAACCCACTAGCCACTCCTTGTAAGGAAGGTTGGGCAATCTACTCCCATAGTGATAACGCCTTGGAAACCCAAGGAGGGGTTGCCATGAGTCAGATGTGACTCAACAGCAGTGGTTTTTTTTATGTTTTCTGCAGTGAAACATTTATCCATGAAAAGTAACGCTTTGCAAAAAATTGGATTTTGTTCTATATATTTTTTTTTAACCCATTCTAACCAGGACTCTGTTGTGGTCTTAGAGTGGTCAGTAGTGGTACCTCCAGTTCTCATCTCAGGTTAGAGGAGGCTGTGGTTCATGTGGGCTAATTGCTTCCTTAAGTCTTTATTTTTCTTCATTTTCCTTTGCTCCAGGTGGGAAGAGACTAATAGTTGTTTCTTAGATGGCTGCTCGTAAGCTTTTAAGACTCCAGACACTATTCACCAGACTAGGATGTAGAACATTATAAACTGTGTTTTGCCAGTTGACCTAGATATCCCCTGAGACTGTGGTCCTTGGGGGACCTCTGGTAGCGTAGTGCCTAAGGCACTTGACTGCTAACCAGAAGGCTGGAGGTTCAAACTCACCAGCCACTTCTTGGAAGGAAGATGGGGCAATCTACTTCCGTAGTGATACTGCCTCGGAAACCCAAAGAGGGGTTGCTGTGAGTTGGGTCCGACTCAATGGCACATAACAACAACGTGGTCCTTTGCCTTTGATTCCAGTAGTTCAGTTGCAATGTCTAAGTAGTTTGTATGACTGTGTCCCCTATGTGCTCTATTATATGTGAGTACGTGTGTGGCATTTACAAATATGTATGTAGAAATATCCACCACATACCTATGTATGTATGCGGGTATATGACCTCCCTCACCTATTTAGCAATGTATTTATCTATATAACTGCTCGGGTGGTTGTCAGACATGACTGCTGCTGCAGGACTGTATATGTTACAGCATTTACCGTTTCTGGCCTTTATTCTTGGGGACTGCTCAGTGTCTTCCCTTGCCTCGGTGTCACGTGTGCTGACTTCCCCCATATAGTATATGGCCTTAAAAGAATATTTTGTTACACATGAAATTCAAATTTCAGCATCCATAAAAATACAAAGTTGTCTTGAAGAAAGCCACACTCATTTGTTTACATATTTAAGGCTGCTTTCAGTGCTGCAATGGTAGAATAGCTGTGACAGCCTTAATGATTTCTTGCCGGCCCCCCCCCACACACACAGAAGTTTGCCAACTCCAGATTTAAACCAATTTTTCATTCCACAGGTGAGAAAACTTTAGTCCACACAGGTTATGGATTCATCCAAAACTGCAAAGCTCAGTTAGTAGCTACAGACCATGGACTTGACTCAAGTTGTTCTGTTCACACTGGCCAAACCTGAGGCCTTCCCTGGGGTTGACCAGCCAGCCCTCTCCGCCATCTCTTCTCCTGACTCCCACCCTCTCACATCTCAGAGCCCTCCCTCAGCACTCACAGATCACCATGACACAGATGCAGCAGGTTCTTTTAGTAATTCAGCCACATGCAGAGCTGTCCTGGGGCTGCCCTCCAGGAGTGGAGGAGGAGGGCTGCCTGGCAGAGGGCATCACACTCCAGATTGGCCAGAAATAACATCTTCATTTTTGTTTCCACACAACTCTTCTCTGTGAGCCTGTCAGCCAACAAAGTAGCAGCGGATTGCTGGAGGAGCCAGCCAACCATCTTATCTAATTCCAGATTCTTCAGGGCTAAGATGTGTTCACCCCAGAGGCTTAAATGAAGAACATTTGCAGCTACTCGGGCAGATGGTCTCTGAAACAAGAAGGGAAGTGGAGACTGAGAACATCGTAAGAAAGTATTTTGTCCACACCCACTTTGTTAATTTTATTCTTTTCCATTTTGGCCCCAACTAAATTTTTCCTCGACCCTCAATCTTCTCCCAATCCCCTTCCTGAACTGACCCATACTGGCTGCTCTGCACCCATGTTCCAGGCTTTCCCACATGTAATCTGCATGTTTGGATAGCCTTTCCTGCCGTGGTGGGCCCCAGTGCCCACCACTGTTTTGTCTTTTGTCCTGGGGTTAAGTAAGTTCTCATTTCTTTTAATGGCAGCAGTTGGTAGTTGACCAAACCTTCATTGGGCAGCTACTGTGCCCAGGACAGCATGCTATGTGTAGTGAGTGATGAGTGATGGAGCAGTACTATGAACCCCCATCTGGCTCTAGGCTCCTTCTGCTGAACATGCCACAGGATTGGGCCTGCCACTCCAATTAGGGCTTCAAGTACAGTAGCTGCTACAGAAATTTCACAGTGTCCAGATCTATTCTTGGGAGATGTTTCCTCATCAGTCTGTCTGACTAGGTCTCAGCTGATTCCATAAGTTGCATCCTTATTAAACTTTTATTAAAAATACATCCTTTTCCCTCTGAGTAATGTTAGGTGCCATCAGGTTGATTTTGACTCATAGGGACCCCTTGTGACAGAGGAGAACTGCCCTGTAGGGTTTTCTAGGCTGTAAACTTTACAGGCGCAGGTTGCCAGGTCTGTCTTCTGTGGAGCTGCTGGGTGGGTTTGAACCACCAACATTTTAATTAGCAGCCAAGCACTTAACTATTGCACTACCAGGGTTCCTTCTGAGTAACTTGAAGCAGCTAAAAAGCCAAGAGAGTTGAAGTGCTAGGATTCTGACTAATGATTTGGTGGCTAGCTCCCCTACACCTATGTCAACTAATAGGTAGTTAAAGGATATTACTATTGTAATTGGCCTTCACCTTTGTAAGATCCAGGCTCTGCCTGTCCCTGTAGTGCCCAAACATGGCCTTAACCCTAGAACATGAACTGAGTTTTCCATCCACGCTTGCAGAACCTGGCAGCTGTGGGAACAGCCTCACTCACCTTAGTGGCATCTCGTTGGAGTAGTGACCTCACCAGGCATCTTGTGTCTAGAGGCACTGACTCGGGCAGTGTGGGCAGCTGAGCCTCTTGGTAACTGCGGCTTTCCAGGTGGGCCTGGCCTTGGCCGTAAAAGGGATTGGAGAGCCCAAAGATTTCATAGGCGATTGTTCCCACTGCCCAGGCATCTGCCTTGCTATAGTCGATCACTGCTTTAGGGCCAGGATAGGCGGTGGACACCTGCTCAGAAAGTATCGGGTGAGCAATTGCTACTGTAGTTTCCAACCTCAGTCGTGTTTTTGCACATCACATGAAGTCTGTCCAGGGAGCCCAGCTTTTGCGCCAGCTGTGGCTCAGACCCAGAAGAACCTGCTGAGGCTGCCTGGTTTATGCTCACAAACTCCCACCTCCCAGGAACATGATTAAACAGATTAAAGCAAAGTGGCAAGGAAGGGACTGGTGCCAAGTTGTGGGTCAGAAAAGATGGAGGTGCTGAGTAAATAATGAGGTGTCAGATTTCATCCTGTCACTTCATGGGGGATGTGTGGAAGTTTCTGCTGATGACAGATGACACACGCAGCAGGACTCACCTCGGGAGCCATCAGGCAGCCGTTTCCGCCCCGATCCACATACCAACTGGTGAAGGGCAGCTGCAGGCCGATGTGCTCATCCGCCAGGCAGCAGCCGAAATCAGTGATCACCAGCCAGGGGCAGCCATCTGCAGAGGGAACAGGCAGAGGTAAGCGGTGGTTTCTCCTCCCTCTCCTTCCCCCATAGAGGTCCTCCTGTGTCCCTACTAAAGCCACCATCAAGACATGGGTGAGAGGGGCAACAGGGACTCTGCTGGACCAGGAGTGCAGAGCAGCAAGGCCTGAATGGGAGTCCCCTCACCATAGAGCTGAGCATGAGTCTGGAAATGCTTCCAGGAAACTAAAGGCCCAAACAAATAACTGTTGGATGAAAGTTTGGCTCAATCTAAATTATTTTCTAGTAATTGGAGCTGTCCCAAGACCAAAGGAGCTGCTCACAATTTACTCATTAGGTGGTGCTTGCCTCAGATGACCTCTAAGGGCCCTTAATAGCCATAAGCCTTTGATTTGAACTTGAAACCCAATTCAAAGTCTAAGTAACAGGTGCATTAAGAATTAATTATCTGTGAAAGGATCCAGAGTTCCTTTAAAAAGCCAGTTCTTTCAGTAATTTAATTGCATATGTAACTATTTAAAATCTTTTAGTTCAAATTTTATCAGATATATGATTCTCCTTTACTATATCCCCAAATGGCCATCTAGCTTCTACTTGAATGCTTCTAGTAATGGGCAACTCATTACTTCAAAAGGCAGCTGGACTTATGTTTGGACAGCATTTACTGTTTGAAGAATCTTTTCTTAAAATGAGCTAAAGTCTACCCCCCTTTTACTTATTAAAGAACACTTCCACCACTGATGTGTTTGTTTTGTAAGTGGGTAACACAGAAGACTGTTAACGACCACTTGACAGCTCCACAGAGAGAACAAAAGCCTGTGGTTTGAAGAGGTTGGTGTTCATCTCTGTCCAGAACTAAATTAAGACACAACAGCTTATGATAACATAAAACTCCAAAAAAGGCCTGAAGGGTCCTCAGTGTCCCCAGACGTCAATCCCTCTGATTACTCTGAGGGGGTGAGGGGCACCTACCTGCATCCAGCTCCACGAGGATGTTGTCAGACTTCAAGTCTCTGTGTGCGATGCCTTGTTGAACCAGATGATCCACCCCTTCCAGTAGCTGCAAGGTCATCATGGTGGCGAGGCGAGGGCTCGGAGTGGCCGTGCGAAGATACTGGCGCAGGGTACAAGGATAGCTGGGGGAGAGGGCATAGGGCTTCAGGCTATGAGAGTATGTCAGCAGTCCCTAGCACCTCAGGATGCACCTTAGGGATGCTAAGGTCAGGATGGTGGCCTTTCTTCTTCCTGGAACTTTTTTGTCCCCAACCATCCTCTCTGCCCCACCCACCCATCATCTTGAAATGATAAGGGGCTGCACATGTTGAAAGTGACAACACAGGTACTCATTTCCTTACAGCTCCCATTGCAGTGACATTAGAGGATGTAGAGGGTGATGAAAGAGACCTGTTTTTATGTTGAGAAATAGGAGGGCAAGCCATAGAGCAGGGATGGTAGTCAAATGTGCAAAAGCACTGGGTGAAAAGTATGGAAGAGTACATAATGGCTGAAAATGAGATTTTATTTTCACGAGAAATCATCCTCAAGGGAAACTGCTCTCTGGGGAAGACAGTCCCACTGCATGACCTGCTTGTCCCAATGAGTCCTGGTCCTCTCTCTGAAAGCCCCGCTTGATGTGCACATGGAGGCCAGGACCCAACTCCTACCCTACCAATGTGGCAGCTCAGGGTCTGGCCACACCCCTGTCACTTACTTCTTCATAACAAGGAAAAGTGTCCGTCCATGGCCCAGGCCATCTGGGTGGAAACATGGGGGCAGCACATCAGGGTAGTCGACCAGGGCCCCTGGCAGCAGCGGTACCGAAGAGGTGAAGGCACGGAAAACCCGGATGATGTTGGGGTGAGGAGCCAGTTGCTTGGGACCTCCCTTGGATTTTCTGTTTCAGCCAAGTAGGGAAACATACAAGGCCAGTATCAGATACAACAGTCGGAAAACAGAATCAGGTGTAACACGTGAGCACTCAGCCTCCTGAGCACCCACTGCCCTGGCACTTACCACACTGACTGCTCTGGTCTTGCACAGCCGCACCTGTCTGCCACACCGAAAACTCTTTCTTATTCATGATTAGAGGGTTTATCAGGGAACCAACAGGTTAGATTCAGGTTCAGGAACACGCAGGATACAGTTCTTTGATCAGAACAGCCTCACTTCAGCTGTATCCATAAGCACACCTCTGACCCTCAGTCTCCTGGCCTGGCCTCTGCCCTGCTCCGGCAAGTGTTACAAAGCTCCTTTAAGCTCTGCTGATAGGTGCACCCCACTCTGCCAGCAAGCCTCCTGCCCAGAGGCACTCGGCTTTCTCATTCTTTGGGCCCATGCTGAGAACTCTTAAAGAATAGAACACTTGTTCTTTCTTTCTTTCTGTTTTAAATCTCTGTTGCAAGCTGCAACCCCCTAGAACAGTACTTGGCACCCTTAGGTACTCTGAGTGGAATGACTGTCTCTCCTGGGGGACAGAGTTCAGTTTGTACCACTAGGTGGTGCTCCACCTGCCCATTATCAGTCCCCACTTTTCCAAGGAGGAGTCAGAAGTCAGATCAGCTTTCCAACCCTGAATGAGGCAGACTAGATGGCCTGCTGGCCCCTGCTCCAATGTGAATCAACCATCTGCAGCATCAGCTGGAGTCAGATGAGCCGCAGTCTTTCTAAATTACCCACCAGTTGAGCATCCATCATTAACTACGACATTTGGCAAGCCTTCATTATCTGCTGGGTGTCAGACACTGTGCTGATTGCTGGAGACGGATGGTTATTTTGCTCTCAGGGAACTCAGTCAGGTGGCCCGGTGGGGCAAAGGCACTTACCTGTAGGTGACTGCTCCATACTCCCCAGCCAAGGCCACTCGGGTTGCTGGGACAAGCTCCTGGCTCATTGTGCTCAAGATGGCTTCACTGGAAGAGCCCGCCTGGAACAAAGCCACAGGAATCCAGAGTTAGACAAACCCAAGTGGAACAACAAGTTCCAAGCCCTCCCTGTAACCTGGACCCGGACAGCTGTTGCCTAGGACTAGCCTGGACCCTCAAGAGAAGATAACCTCTCTGAAGTGGCAAGACAAGACCAGGTACTCCTTGGAGACAGAGAAGGTAGAGGTGCCATCCATGCCTACTCAGGGGACTCTTCCCACACCTCAAATTCTTGGCATCTGTCAAGAAGAAGGTCAGGGTATGGGACCCTTCCTTTGTGTTAGAGATGCCTCCAGCCACCACAGGCTCCAAACCGGTAGGCCATAGCCTGACAAACTCCATCCTGGATAAAGTGTGGATAAAGTGTGGTGAATCATGGAACAGCCACTCCCAGCCTCACCCCAAATGCAAACAAAAACCAAAGAGGGGGAAAAACACCTTATTCTCCTAATTCCATTATGAACATTTCTCAGGACTCAGGAAATCGGGATAAATATCAACAAGCTCCTGTAAGTATCCAGAGTCTTTCAGCTTTTTTGAATGTAATAGCTGTCACTCCTTCACTGTCACGACCAGTGAAGGTTTTGGTGCTCAGACAGGATGTTTCCCAGGAAAGCATTTGGCTACTTGGCAGCTAGCAGCCAGGCTTGGAAATGCAAAAGTCTAGAACTTCCTAGGAGCTCTGTTTAGTGTCTAAGGCATTTGACTAGAAACTGAAAGTTTGGAGGTTCAAACCCAAGAGCAGAAGGAAGACTAGGCAATCTACTTCCATAAAGATTTACTGCTTTGGAAACCCAGTGGGGGTTGTTATGAGTCACAGTCGACTTGATGGCAGTGGGTTTGGTTGTTTTGGTTTCTATTCTCAGAACCAGAACCTGCACTCTCCAGCATCCACCCTGGCTGCTGAGGCTGCTGTCCACCTCAGCCCTGGCACACAGCTAGCGCCAAGTTGTCCAGGCACATTTCCTGTGGAGGATTTGAGTCTTTCCTATCTGCTGACTGCAGAGAGGCCCACTAGGTCCACTAAGATTGACTGGCATTTGAGAAATGCCCACTTTAAAGGTAAAGACTACATTCTTACCGAGATGTTCCACATCATCTTGATGGCAAAGGGAAAGGCAGGGGGCTGGGCACTGCTCTGGTCAGTCTCTCCCTGTGGAATGACATCTGGGCCTCTCCCTGTCAGCAGCTCACTGCTCTCTGCCCTCTCCAGGTTCTGGGGCACCAGGGGCACAGTGGCCTCATACACAGCAGCACTACAGCCCTTGCCAATGGATCGCCCTATAAGATACTCCTCCAGCCGGAAGCCTTGCCAGCGTCTACTATCCAATGGGTCAGGCAGCAGCTTGTTTTTCTGGGTGAAAATTGCCTGTGAGGGAAGAAGAATAATGCACAGTGAGACTGTAAGATCCAAGTAAGGGGAAAGGTAGAGTGAAGCCAGGTCCTCACTGTCAAGAGCCACTAAAAACACAGCCAAATTAGGTTTCACTGCTTGTCCTGGGCTCAGGCCATCCTGCCTTGCTCTCATCTTTCAGAATAATTTTTCTCAAACTCTGTCACTTCATCACAGTCACAGAGACAGCCCAACACAGCACACTAGGAATTAGTGAGGAGATCAGAACATCTTAGTTCTGCAGCTGGCACACCACTCCTGGTGCCTGTCATCCTGCCGGCACATTCTTGGAGACTCCTGGTTATGAGACAGCTCTGCCAAGACCTTGGCTGGTCCTACTAGCTGGTTACCAGGACCTGTGGTTGGGCAGGAGCCTGGGATCAATAGTCACACCATTCACTTGGCAGTGACTTCAGATTGCTTTTGCAGGCAGTGGGGTAAAATCAGGAGCATCCTGGGAGTTGAGTGACTTAAGTCCTGCCTGTCTCTGCCTCTTAGGAATAAGATGGGTGGCCTGCTCTGTCAGGAAACAGAATGTACAAGCAATCAGACAGAAACAAATGGCAGTGCAGGCACTGGGAGAGTCCACTTGTCAAAAAACTGGGTACACCCCTGTTTGAGGCAGCGGTGACATCACTTCTCCAGTTACCAGACTTTGCCTTGCTCCTCAAACCTGCCTGATGTGCTAATCCCTTCCTTTCCAACTCTATAATCAGTCGCCCATGTATGCCAGGATGGTAGTCTTCATACCCACCTATGGAAGCACCCTAAGGGCACCCCCCCAACTTCATCCTTTCACCTGCTCTGAGCTCCAACCACAATGCTTTCATGTGTCACTCCTCTGTTCAAATACTACTCAACTCCCCAGTACATTACCCTGGGAATTCCTATATGAAATTTGCTTCCCAGCAGGCCATAAGTTTTCATTTCTCTGGGTAATTGTCCAAGAATGTAATTGCTGGATTGTATGGTAAGTATATGTTTAGATTTGTAAGAAACTGTCAAATATGCAGGCTGAATGATCAGCCGAGGCAAAAGGGATTATACCTATGACCATATATAAGGCTGGTAGATGATACTTCTACATGTGTACATGTATGTGCTGTAAGAATGTTAAAATATATAATAGCACTAACAAGGGGTAAAAGTTATGATAACTTCTTGGCCACAACCAACCACCCTGAGGGAATGAGTCGTTGAACCTGTGAGCTCGGGACCATGGTCAGAGGGGACATCAACCTCAACTGGCATAACATATTACACAAAAACATTGTTCTATATCCTACTTTGGTGAGTAGTGACTGGGGTCTTAAAAGCTTGCAAGTGGCCATCTAGATGCAAATGGATCTCTCCTCGTCCAGAGCAAAGAAGAATGAAGAAAACCAAAGACACATGGAAACCAAAGAACTAGATGGTGCCCAGCTATTACTGTCAACCACTCAGAAATGGATCAGTGCAGGAGATCCTGGATAGAGTGGGAGAACAATGTGGAACAAAACTCAAAATCATGGAAAGAGAGATCAGGTTTACTGGTCTGATAGAGCCTGGGACTGATAAAGCCTAGTCCCTTGAGACTATGGCCCCTAATTACCCTTCAGGTCTGGAACTGATCGCACTCCTGTGGCTTCCAGCCAAACAACAGACAGGCACATGGGGTGAACATTCACATCAGGTAAATACACTCCTTACAGCAATCAATCCATCAGCTGTGGGAGAGAAGGCCAGTGTTTTCACCGGGAGACAGCTTGAAGGGCAGGAATGCATAGGAAAGAAGGAAATAGGCAAGAGGTAACTATAGGGAGGAAGTGGGAAGAGAGCTGTGACATTGTGGGGAATTGCAGTCAATGTCATGACATGAAATGTGTATGAACTGCTGTACGGAAAATGAATTTGCTCTGTAAACTTTCACCTAAATCACAAAAATTAAAAGAAACTGTCAAATATGGAGCAGCTGTACCATTTTACAGTCTCCCTGGCAATGGATAAGCTGTTACGTTTTTGCCCATCCTCACCAGCACTTAGTATTATCACTGTTCTTTATTTCAGTTTTCTACAAACATGTGGTAATCTCTCACTGTGGTTTTAATGTGCATTTTCCTAATGGATAGTGATGCTGAACATTTCATGTGCTTATCTGGCATAAACATTTCCTTTTGGTGAAATAGCTGTTTGAAGCGTGTGCCTATTTTATAATTGTATTTTTTAAAAAAACACAAACATGTTTCCATCTTAAGAGAGCATCTACTATTCTATATCACATGGAATTTTAGCACTAGGGTTGGCAGATCTTGTGATTTTTCAAAACAAGTCTGTGGTAGTTAAGCCTGTGTGTCAGCTTGGCTGGGCCTGGTTGAGTGGCTGGGCAGCTGGATGTAGTATTCCCTGTGATGAGACTGGTAATCACCTCCGTGGTGGAATCTACTGGGAGCCGCTGAGTAGCTGCCTTAGGGATGTGGTCTGCTCCCAGTATGTAAGGAGCAGCTTTAGGAATGGTCTGTAACTTTTGGCACGCTTGAATCCTGCATGTAGCTGAGTCGTTATTTAGCAGCCTGTCACGTTGTCTGCCAATCCTGGGACTCTTAATAGACTTGAATTAATGGCCTGCCATGTGGTTTGGTAACATCAGGACTGTGCCTTCTTACTTGTCAACCTTGGGCTTATCAGTCTCAGCAGCCAGTAGGTGTCTGAGTGAAGAAAGGCCTCTAGCTTCAATGGGCCGGGAGCAGGAGGCAGAGCTGAAGCCCAAGGTTGAGGGGCTTCCACCCAACCCCTAGAGCCTGGCACTTTGAACTCGGACTTAATGCCTCCAAAACTGTAAGAGAATAAGCTGTTTGTTAAAGCCATCCACGGCACTAGAGGTGCCAAACAAAGTCAAACATTTGAGTTTTTTTAATTGGAAGTTAATTGGCAACTCATTGAAAATCTTAAGACACAAGAGGGTGCAATGTGAGAAAAGGACATGTGAAGGGTAAGCCTAGGAGGATCATTGTCCTGGATTTAAAAAAAAAATAGCCTCCCTAGTTTTAAGCAGGATTTGGAAGTTTCCCACTTTTTGTTTCTGCCAGTTTGCCACAGCAAAAGACAAGGCTGAGGACTAGGCCTTGTTACCTGTCATTCAAAACTGGCCAGAGATCAAACATGAGACAATCTGGTGATGGGGAACAAGAACTTGGCTGGAAACCAGGAAACTTGAGACCATTAATTGGCTCTCTACTAGCTGTGTGTCCTTGGGTACTTCTCCCCACCTTCCAGCCCTTCAGCCGTAACCTGTAAAAGGCAAGGGCCATGCTAATCAGTGAGTGGTTCCAAACCCGAGGGTGGGGGATCAGTAGAAATGGTGATCTCTGAGCTATTTCAACTGTTTGCAAAGCGTAAGGAGAACCTTGTGTATCTAGATAGCACTGATAACTCTACATGGGCTAACTAAAACGCTGGGTATGGCGTTTGCTCCTGTCATTCATAGTTTCAGTGTCACTAGTTGCTTGGCTAAACTATGGATGTGGCCTTGCTTAGTAGTTAGGGGCACAGGCTTTGGAGTCAGACTTTGGGCAATGACCTTTATTAACTGTGTGACTTTTAGCAGGTTACTTCACCTCTCTGAGTACGTTGCCTCATTCATACATTGGGAATGACAGCTGTATCAAGGTATAGAAGTGTTATGATTTAGTTGTCATTAAATTTGAGAATCACCACTCTTCTGTCAGTTTGTTGTACTGTGGTGGCTTGCATGTTGCTGTGAGGCTGAAGGCTATCCCATCAGTATTTCAAATACCAGCAGGGTTACTCATGGTGGACAGGTTTCAGCAGAGCTCCAGACTAAGACAGACTGAAAGAAGGACACAGCCATCCACTTCTGAAAAAACTGACCACTGATAACCTTATGAATAGCAGTGAAACACTGTCTGATATAGTCCCAGGAGATGAACCCCTCAGGTTGGAAGTCACTGAAAATATGACTGGGAAAGAACTGCATCTCCAAAGTAGAGTTGACCTTAATGACATGGATGGAATAAAGCTTTTGGGACATTCATTTGCTGATGTGGTATGACTCAAAATGGGAAGAAACAGTTGCAAACATTCATTAATAATCAGAATGTGGAATGTAGGAAGTATGAATCTAGGAAAATTAGAAGTAGTCAAAAAAGACCTCTCACTTGCGGCGGGGCAAGATGGCGGACTAGGCAGAAGGATTGCACAGACCCTCTTCAACAAAAAAAAGGGAAACCAATTAACACAGAC